TTTCTTTTCCAGCAGGAGAAAGAAATTGATTATACCAACCACTTATAGCATCTTTAATCTTCTGCACGACATATCCAAAAGTTTCGGTCTTACTCCTTCCCATTAGCTCTGGAACCCCGAAATATTTCCCTTCTCCTCCTATCTGTTCTATCCCGAGAATTTTGTGAATGTTATCTCTTTGTTCCTGTGGAATCCTTGGACAAAACATAATTGACGACTTTGTAAAATTAACTTTCTGGCCTGATATACCTTCATACTCGTCTAAGATCCGGGCCATTTCTTCACAATCCTTATATTCTGCTTTACAAAAGAAAAGTGAATCATCTGCAAACAGGAGATGAGTAATTGCAGGGCCTTGTTTTGATATCCTCATTCCTGTATATAACTGGTTTCTTTCTGCATTAACAAGCATTTGACTAAGAACTTCAGCACATATCAAGAAAAGATATGGAGATAGTGAATCACCTTGTCGTATTCCTCTGGTAGGAATGATATTGCCATAAACTGCTCCATTAATTAACACCGAATATGACACTGTAGTTACACATTGCATTGTCCATCTGATCCATCTGACATCAAAACCCATCTGGTGCATAACTCTCTCTAAAAAACTCCATTCCACTCGATCATAAGCTTTGCTTATATCGGTTTTAATAGCTATGAAGTCTTCTGAGCAACCGTTCCTTGTTTTCAAAGAATGGATTAACTCGTGTGCTACCAAAATATTGTCAGATATATTCCTCCCTGGGACAAAGGCCGTTTGTGAAGGTGAGATGATATCTCCTAGGCATTCCTTCAATCTGAATACCATCACTTTTGCAATGATCTTATAATTGATAGTGCACAGACTAATTGGCCTATAAGAGCTCATAACCTCTGTGTCCGTAGTTTTTGGAATGAGACAAATATTTGTGTGGTTAATGTGAGGATCCAACTTTGAAGTTTCAAAGAAACTGCGAACCATGGAAATGACATCTCCTTTAATGTCATCCCAAAATCGTTGATAAAAAGCTGCTGTAAACCCATCGGAGCCTGGTGCTTTGTCTGGACCTATTGAGAAAACTGCTTTCTCTATCTCAACATCTGATATTTCACAAGTCAGCCTGTGATTCATAGCGTCTGTGACCCTTTTTTCAATTCCATGAAAAATATGATCTAATGCTCGAATAGTACCAGATGTGTACATATCAGTGAAGTAGTCTTCAGCTACCTTTGCAATGGCCTCATCGCGTTTATGGACAACTCCATACTTATCTTTAATCTGCTTAATCACTGTTTTTGCCCTTCTAGCCTTAGTAGCACCGTGGAAATATTTAGTATTCCTATCACCCTTCTGTAACCATGTTCTTCTGCTTTTTAAACGCCAATATTCCTCCTCTTCCCTATACGCTTTATTCAGATCCTTTTTCATGTCATGAATCACTTCTATTGGGACTGTATGATCTCGTAATGAATTCTCAATCTTACCTCGGAGAGTTTCAATCAGTTCAGATGAATTTGTTCTATTTCTTTTCTTCCATCGAGTCATTTCTCTTCTACACTCTTTGAGTCGAGACAGTAATGAATAAGCTTCTTTGTCTTGATTTCTCCAAGTTTTCCTTACCATGTTGACAAAATCTTCATAATAGTACAATCTACGATCATACCTAAATTGTCCTCTCCGTTGAGTAGCCTGATACTCAATATTAATAATCATAGGTCTATGATCTGAAATTCATTCTCCGAAGCTGGATATTGGGCTAGCCACTCTGTATTGACAAAAACTCTGTCCAAACAACACTCCACAATCTCTTTTCTCCGACGACCTACCCAACTAAATGGGTTCCCTTTAGATTGGAGATCCTTCATTCCACAAACATGAAGCATTGTAGTAAAATCTCTAAAACTACTCGCACCTCTGGTTCTACCTCCTTTCTTTTCTGATGCTTTTGCAATCTCATTAAAATCACCGCACATTAACCATGGTCCAAGCCTAGTGGTTGCCAATCTTTGAAGTCGTTCCCAAAGATGATGTCTTTGACTCGGAATTGGGTTTCCATAAACACAAGACATGTAGAACTTAAAAGATTTAAATTCAATTGATAGGTCTACAAGTCTTTCATCAGAAGAAATACACTGAACCATAACATGTTTTTTCAAGAACACGGCCAAACCCCCACTTAAACCTTGAGGAGAAACAATACACATATCCTCATACCCTAAGAGTACCCCAATATCCCTTACATAGTCATTCTTTTGCTTAGTTTCTACTAAGAACAGCAAGTCTGGGAGATACAATCTATGCATCTCTTGTAGACGTCGAACTGTGAGGCGCTGTCCTAAGCCCCGACAGTTCCACACCTGAGCTCTCATCGAGATATTGGTGGTTCAGGGCCCACCGCGCCTCCAGGTAAGTTGTTAGGAAAGTCTTCATCTTCAAGAGATTCAGCATAATCCATCTGCAACTTCTGCAAGGCCCCTGGGCCACAAACCATCTTAACTGGTCCGGTCATCATCTTATCCACCATTTCAGGTTCATTATCATCATCTGTCTCACGCATTCTCTTTCGTGAACCAACCATGTCAGCAATATCAGCAGATATCACACGATGAGGGGGTGAAAAATCGTTACCTTGTTGAACTCCACCCGATGCAGACATACCAGAACAAGCACTCGGGTCTCCCAAAAAGGATCCATACTGGGCCAAGTTTGCTGTTGGTGATGTAAATTCTGTTTGAAGACCCCCTTCTAGAGAGCCATCTGCACCCTCCACTCTCTTTCCCTTACCGATATTCTCCTCTCTGTCTCTTTGGTTTTCATTGTCACCCGAGTTTGTCAAACAATCATTAAGCAGATTCTCTATGAATGCATTCTTTCTTCTCTCAGCATCTGGGCCAATGAACACCGTACGCTCCCGAACAAAAGCCTCCATTGTAGTGCAAAAATTCTCATCCGAGAATGGAAGGAATTCTTCATTAGCCTCCTCCCCATTGGCACTTTGATGATTGACTTCCTCCATTTCATGCTCTTCTTCTTGGTTCAGATCTTCCGTATTGTCCTCCATACCCTCATGTTCCATATTATCCACACCGTAACCCCCTTCTTCTTCATGTCCTGCATCTCCATGCTCTCCCTCTTGGTCATCATCATCGTCCTGAGGATGATTGGGTGGGATCTGATGCACACAGGCGCCTGTATCATGGGTCAGCATTCCACAGACTTCACAGAAACCTCGGAGCCTCTCATATCTGAACTTCAACAAAGTGTTAACTCCCGGTGAAAACTGGAAGTTTCTCTGAAACTTGAGTGGCAGATCCACATTCCAGTTAACTTTCACCCTTACAAATTCCACTGCGTTCATCATATCCGGATCAAAGTCAGTCTCCAGAACATGCTCCATTCCACCCACCATAACTCCAGCGATATGGTTGATGATCTCTTGGGTTAAGTACTGCAGTGGAATCCCTCTTATCTGGATCCAGAATGGTATCACATTCAGATCCATCTCCGTCATCTCCGGGCTCCATCGTCGTAGAACCGTCATTCTTTCATTAAAAGCCCACGGACCTCGTTGCAGGATTGATTGCATTAACTCTTCGGAAGGAAAGACAAATTGATAGCGATGACGCTCAATCAATCTTCCAGAAATGATTCCAGACAGACCCCACATACGAGGGAAAGAAGCCACCATAGCGCGAATGTTCTGTCTCCGTGGAATTAATGGACGGCCCATCAGAGAAAATTGATTCACACGAACTGCTTCCCGACACACTGAAGTTGGGAGTGCCACCGGTTCATCATGTGCACCCAAATTGATATCTTGGATCGCTCTTCGTAAATTTTCAGCCATTCTTCTTTTTGTGGTTTTGAGATTGAGAAAAATTGATGAATCGAAAAAGAGAGTTTGAGTGTTATGATTCGTACCTGAACAATGGGTATATATTGATTTGAATCGGCAGTGTCTGCCCATGATTTCCTTGCATATCTCCACTCCTCCAAAACGGTTACTTTGTCCCACGATTTCATCGTAGCAAGCATTGCCCACTACGGAGATGTCCGAGGAAAGGGGGAAACTGCCTGAAAAGGGTCTCCGGCCAATCCCGAAAAAGGAAATGACTGTTAATCGATCGACGGTTTCTCGTCGGAATGGGGATAAGGCAATCGCCTTAGAAATCGCCTTTCCTCTTATTTTTTGTTAGTAATGAATTTTGTTAGAAATCACATAACATATATCGTTATAGACAGTTTTTTAAAAATTAATGAAATACCTGGATTGTTTTCAATAGATCTTCTTCTGTAAAGAATATCATCAGATAGCAAATTCCAAGTTTCTTCCCAAACTCCAAATGGATTAATTAGGCTATCAGTCAATAGCATAACCCAGAACAGCTTTCGAAGGAAGTCACCAGAACCCCACATGCTTGCTTCATTAATCCCATCTATATATTCTCTATCATCATCTAGTAAACCCAATGCATAACATGCATCTTTGTATGTAGGATGTAAAACACCATCAACTGTCTTCAAATCATCAAACCCCTTAGGACATTTGTGTCGGTTGAGTAGAACACGAAGATAGTACAATTGGCCACATTTAAGAGGTACATAGGTTATTCTACCAACAGCTAACCGATTTTTCTTTTGCTTTGGTTTCCATTCAATATTTGTACGATCATAAACAAACATTGTAGGAAACTCAGCATATGTTAGGTTTTCAGCTTCTGGATACTTATTGCAAGCTTCAAAAAATGCTAATAACATTGAGCTCTGTACTGACCTGCGATTTAGAACAGTTTCAACTGGATCATCATCGTCAAAAAGTACTGATTGCTCGTTTTCTAGATGAAAATAGAGTTTCTCCACTGGAGTTGTCCTAAAATGGATTAGAAATGCTAGCAAACGCCATGTAGCTTCACATGAAGAAACATATCTACATAACAATAGAACAGTAGAGATTTAGTATGTAATCAAAACTAATGCAACTTATAAAACATGCCTACAATCTCTATCAAATTAAATACTACCTGCAATCGAAGAACTCCTTAATTTCATCTGTATTATCCTCGCCGTTTTCATCTACATTGGCGCATGCATCAGAATCTGCGCCTTGATTTAAATCATTTTCAATTGTAGCTAGAACACGATCAGGTCCTTTGTTGATATATTTGAACAGGTATTTGATTGACCTTGCCTGAGTACACCATTCCACATTGATGTGAGCTCTATATCGCAATGATAGCTCTCTATTATAAGGCACAACAAAACTGTTGTCAATTTTTAGACCATTCTTCTCAACAAATGCGCCAGTCTTCCTTCTCATATAATGTGGAAAGCCTCTGTTGTCAATGGTAGTTCTTTCACAATATTTCTTTAGAAATAGCTTAGAACACTTCCCATTGACCATACATGGACTACTTTTGTTAATCACTCCGCAAGGTCCATGTATCATGTTTTGCTTCACTACTTCATACAAAGAAGGATCAGTATCTTTGTCAGGAATCTCAGCAGAAATAACCTTATCAATAGATTCAGCAGTAGACAATTTGTTTTTTTCAGCCATCCATAGTAGAATATGTGCATGTGGAAATCCTCTTTTTTGGAATTCAATAGTATACATACCTGTTAATATAAAACAAACCAATCAGAATTACCATAACAATATAAATCATAGTATAAATACAAATATTACAAATATAAATTTAACATACCACAAACACTTTTTCCAAAAATGTTCTTTTCAGTGAGATCACTCATGAGGCTGTCTAGCTTAATTTTGAATATCCTACAGAAGATATCTGGTCTATCTTCAGGATTCAACTTTCGCTTCTTTGTATATCTAATTATCTCAGGCCAGTTTGGATTGCAGGTGAAAGTTATAAAAAGATCAGGAAATCCAAAGTGCTTACAGATTGCCATTGCATCCAAATAGTTATTGTTCATATAGCGTGAACCACCGGTAAATGATGCAGGTATCAAAATTCTCTTACCTCTGTTGGATAAATCAGAGTTTCCTTCCTTTTCAGCCTCAACCAGATTCACATACTTGTCTGAACGAAGCTTCTTCTGATTTTTCCTGAAATATCGAAGTCGGCTAGACTCTATCATAGTAAACACATCAACCAGAAACTGTTGATACAATCGTTTAGACCGAATTACAGACTGAGATTCCATTAACCTATCTTGAATCCTATAAGCATAGAATTCTCGCATGCTTATAGTTTTCCGTTTCCGTTTGTTGACGTCATCAAAACCGTCTTCAATTCCAACGGTGAATCCATCCTCACCATATGGAAATAATAATGGATACTGAAGAGCTAGATAACCCACATAGAGTTCACTAATTCTTCTGAGGTTTCCGTGTGTAGTCTCTAATACAATATCTCGTAAATCCATTCCTTCTTGAAAATCTCCCGGAATCAATGCTGCAACTTCTGCTGATGTTGGCATGTTATGTGTTCTAGCATCTTTATTCCTGTTAGCAATGAGAACTAACTTGAAGTTGTCTTCTGGTTGTTGAATATTGTATCTGTCTTTGTAAGAACGGAAAGCTTTCACCATTGGATTACAAAAGTTTAACATCTTCATGAGACATTCAATTAATGCTGGCCTTAATTTGGTCGAGTTAGAGACATTCTTGCTGAAATAGTAGAAAGTGCATAATTAAATATATTGTAGGAAGAAAAATAATGTTAATGGATATTAAAATAGTGCGTAAAGTGTATACCTGATTGAATTCTCTCTGTTAGTTATCTCATTAGCTGTATCATGGATATACAACTGACAGAACTTTGGTTTCTCTTTCCTCTTAGGAATCAAAGAACCAATTAAGTGATAATTTTCACCATGTAGTTGGAATACGGGTGGACCACGACCCTTGTTTATATCGTAATTTATCTTTCCACCAATAGATGTAAATGAAAACATCATGTTATAAGCTCTGATATTCTCACGAAAATGGCGACAAATTTCATCATCACTCGAGAAGAGATATATCAAAAATGGAGGAGGTTGGTTAAGTAAGGGTAGCTTCACTTTACCCTGCAAACAACATATAGTAAATTTATATGTTGCACTCTTCTTCTTTTTCTGAATTCGTTCATTAAACCACATCTTTGCTTTGCAGTGTATGCATTCATACATCGGATCTCCATCATCATAATATCCTGAGGTAATACAACATTCGACATAATTAAAAATTTAGTCCTGATAAGAATCTAACTGAAAAAGGATATATAGAAGTGTAATGTTAGAGATATAACCATTTCCCAATATAACAGGTTTACGTTCATGATCATAATCATCTGCTATAGTATCAGTTCCATTAGGCCTTTCGTTAAACTTAATCCCTTTCATTAAACGTGTCCTGTTATGTCTAGCCTTTCGCTGTGTCTCGAACAAAGATTTAGATAGTTGATTTTTTCTTTGTGTATCAATGATTTTATCAACAGAAGAGTTCCACCACATAATGACTTAGATTGAGAGTTAAGGTAACACTAATATGAATTCAACGATAAGATAATTTAAAACTAAGTTAAAAAACTTATAATTTGAATAGGATAAGGATACATGACTTCTCTATTCCTTCAACAGTGTGTGAGCTTGTTGCATTCCTGTTTGTATTTTCTGGTGAAAACACATAACAATACATTTTAAATTAAAACAAATGTTAAATTTTAATTAATATACATAATTTAGATATTAATACAGATCAGAAAACTTACTGGGACCGATATGTACTGGTTTAGGAAGATCAGAATGAAGCGGTTGTGAAGAAGGATTTGATCGAGACTTACTACCAACAGATGGTGGCGTCACATACGTTTGATTCGAGGTTGCCAATTCAGATATGTTACTAACAATTGATGTAAGGATCCTATCTGATAATACAATTCAAAAACAAACAATGAGTTAATAATTTAAATAGATTAAATTTATAAATTCATTATACTATTAGTTAATGAAATTATTCTTACTTGGCTGTAAAGGTACAGATTTAGGAATACCAGAATCTAGCCTCCGTGAATTAGGAATTCTTCGAGCTTTGCTAACAACCGATGGGGGTGTCGCATATGTAATATTAGAGGTAGTGGTTTCTTGTCTATTAGTATCACTTGATGATTGGATACCAGTACCATGAATATCATTGCTTGCTAGGTTTAGATCAGGAATTGTTGTATTACGTTTTGCAAATTTAGGCCGTGACAATTGAGTTTCAGATAAAATTCGACCAAACCTAAGGCCTGAAAACAAATATATATGTTATTATTAAATATATTAACAAATTTGTTTAATATATGTAAAAGCAAGAATTAAAAATGGTAGTTGATATATAGGTAACCCGTTTCTTCAGAAGATGGTGAGCATTGCAAAGGTCTCTTTACAGGTGGCCTGTTTTCTTTTTCTGAACTTGGTAATGCTACATGAAGGAAAAGTGAAGAACACACATAAAATATATAAGATAATTCATAAAACGATTTATAAAATATAACATAGTTCACATACACTGTTGATTTTGAGGTGTGTTTGACTGTATTCCTAAACAACCAGGATTGCTGAAATCTGTAAGAATTTCATTTATGTAATTAAATAAATAAAACAACACACTATTAAAAGAATGTGAAGTATACAAAATTAAGATTAAAGCAAAAAATAAATAAAAACTCACATGAAGTAGATATGTCTGATGTAATCCGACTTGAACTCCTCACAAAATCATTTTAATTGCTTAAATCTCTAAAAATCATATCAAAAGCACCAGAAATAGGTTTTGCTGATTGTGATTGACTGGTAGATGCGATCTTCTGTTTTTTAGTAGTTTGGTTCTCATAATTTTCGTTTACATGCCGATTTTTCTTTGAACTATGCATTGCATAAGAAGGTGAACATACATTCAAATAGATGTAAATGTTAACACGAAGAACGCGATGAAGCGGAAAAGTTTATTTATATAAAATAGTAGTTGTTTGTTATAAAATTCAAATTAAAGGTGATCCCTTATGAATAGGAAAACAAATATTCTACATTTAAATTCATATATCTAAATCCACAATTATAGATAATAAATATAGAGAAAGAATCAATTTATATGAATTAATAGTTATTTGTTATAACATTCAAATTAAATGTGATCCCTTATGATTAGGAGAGCAAATATTCTACATTTAAAATTCATATATCTAAATCCATAAATATAGATAATAAATTTAGAGAAAGAATCAATTTAGTTACAAATTGCCAAACTTAAAAGGATAAATATAGTTAAGTAAAGTAAGTAATACTGTTAAAAGACATAAGTTTTAATATATTATCCATATACGTGATAATTGATGACTTTGTTTTCGGTTAGTAGTTATTGGTATTTTTGGATGTATATATTCGTATAAGTATATATAATTTGTTACAAATAAATCAAATTTCCATTTAGAAATAAATAATATAGACTACATTAGAATTTGATTATAAGCTAATGATGTTTGTATAGTATTTAATATATAAGTGATGATATCATTTGAATGATGATCATACAATGTTCAAAGAAAAATTATAAAATTATTAAAAGACTTCATACATTAACAAAATACTAACAGTAATGAACGAAATCAAAATATTCTTAAAAAATAACCATCCGATTACAAAATTTAAATGAAGAAGCAAAGTTCAATAAAAAATAACGATAAATGAAACAATACTACAGACGGATAAACGCATCACAAAGTAGTTCCAATAACTGATTTCGGTTCTTAAATCATGGCTTCTCTGTTTTCACGGTCTTAAGCGGTAGAGTACTTTGATTAGTCTGAACAGTTTTCTCATCCTTACACTTCTTCTTTGCAGCTGAATACTCATCAGTATCCTTAATCACTTCCAACTTTTCATTGCTTTTGCGTTTAGAAGTAGGTGTAATTTCAGCATCATCATCATCCATAATCATTAAAGGAACCTATAACATATTAAATAATCTGTAAGAATGAAAGCAATTTGTTTATAATAGTAAACATGAATGTAATAAATCAGAATAAATAAATATACCTTTTCATCAAGAGCATTGTGAGCTTTTTCCTCTATCTTGATACTTGGAGTGCTCTATGAAATGTGAAAGTAATGTATGGTAAGCAATAAAGAATTAGTTTATACAGAATAAGTGTAATCAAAATGTTATAACTGTACCTGAGGAGTAGAGATTTCAGAAAACTCCTTAACCACATCACTTTGTGTAATTATACTGATGACCTTGTATGTGTCACTATTGAAAACCACATTTGAGCTTGCAATTGCAATCTTGAATAGAAACGTTTTACCACAAATATTGCTCAAAGTTAAGGGCAAGATATCAGGATCCTGAATCTAAACAAATAGGAATTTAATAAATTTTAAATAGATCAAATAAAATACTGTCATGGACAAATGCAGTATAAATATGAACCTCATTAACAGACTGAGTTAACTGAGCAGCAGTTTGGTTTACAACTTCTTTTGCCTCTTGGTCAAATAAAAGGAATTTAGTTTCTCTAGTATTATCCATGACACGGAAAGTCAACATAAACCTATCATAATTTGAAATAGTATAAGTTAAAATTAATAAAAGGTTAAAACTTTACTATAACACAAATACAATAACAGACTTACGATGGATAAACATTCTCAACATCCTCATTGCATTTTTTGCACTGCCACAATTGTTTCTTAAATGTTTTCCCAGGATACAGTTCTTTTAAGTAATCCATATCATGAGGGAGAACCTTTTTAGAACAGGCTCCGCATGACATGTAATACCAACCAAACTCAGTGTCAATAGACATAATTGTGGCCATATTGTAACACATTTGACAACCTTGAAAATTAATAATGATATTAGAATCAAATATATGTTATAAAAATTGAACTGACATAATATATAATTACCTCAGAAGCAGCAATAATTTCGCTAATAGTCCTTCGAGGACTATGCAAGAAGAAATCGTCCCTTACTGATACAGAATTGACAATAGTCAACTGATTTGGATGAGTATAGGTCAGGGTTAAACCATCTTTTGGCAATCTGTGTAAATTAGATTACATAATATTTAGAATATAAAACTTGATAAATAAATAAAATTATGAATATAATTAGTTTTACCTCTCTTTAAAAGCCAAACTCTCTGGGAAGACTGGATCAGTAATAACCATTGAACAGTTGTAGCAATTGCCAACACTCCAAACACCTTGATAAAGTTTTAACTTTCCAAACCGCAAAACAGCAACAATCACAGCATCATTAGCATGTTGAGCCACACTTTCAAGATTTTCAGCGAATTGTCCCCAAAGAACACAATTAAGTCGAACATTTCTACATTGAAAACGATAAAGGAAATTGAGGAAAAGGATAATATGCACAAATCTCCAATATATAGAGCATTAGTGTTAGATTAGTAAGGTAAATGCTAACTCTGTATCACGGATCTCCATAGAAAGCCTCTTTGTCTGTCTCTTTCCAACATTCAAGATCTCCACATCCCCAATACTCACAATTTGTCCAATAGCATCTAAAATAAAAGAAATTATATTAGTACTTTATAATTACGCAAACAAACTATATATCAAATAAATAATTTAGTAATTAAACAAACTTGCCTATCAAGAAATCTGGATTCATTTTGCCTTCGTGAATATCACTAAACTTGACAAACTTGAAACCTAAGATTCTTGGATCCATTTCTTCTGCCGGTTTGACAGATGTAGTTGATGCGAAAAGGATTTTGTAAACGTGAGGGCTGGTCCTGAACTTACCACCGTTATGAGCCACTTGAAAATTTGTGATAATTCTAGAGGCACCTTCCTCTAACAGATTTTCATTTTTCTTGATGAACTCCTTCTTCAAAGTTACATGCATGGTTTGATTCTGTGTATATATAAAAGAATATGCATACTTTAAAGATACATAGGTTTGAATAAAAATGAAAATAAATGAAAACAGTCGTGAAATATATAGATTAGTACAAAACCTCAAAAGTAACATAGATAGTATACCTTCTCATCAACAACAACCATTTCCAACGTCTTTATACCATTCAAATATTGTTTCCAGACCTTCAATATCTTCACGTAAACTCTCCATTGAGTTTTGAAGGGCTTCACGGAATAGAGATCGGTGAAAGAAGACATAATAGCAAAAATAAATTTGATATTCAGAAATTTATTGAAAGGTGAGGGAGGATGAACTATTGGAGAAACGTATACCTATATATATACGGTATTGAGAGAACATGGTAGAGCTAGGTTAAATATTTCAAATTTAGAATTTTCTTCTTGTTAATATAATCCAAGGATCGCGGTTATTTTCGTTTAGGAATAAATATATATCTTCCGCAATTTGAGTAACCAATATGGATGTATATTAGTTGTTTTGAAATTGCAGAAGCTTTAGGTTGAGATTTTAAAATTTAGAAATGCGTAAATATATAGATACTTACTTAATCTGTTGAAAGTTTTAATTATTATAAATAAAGTTTGAAAACATGTATCTAGGAAAATATTACGTTTCGAAAATATAGGAACCAAAGAATTCAATGTAGAATATGCCAAAATATAGAAACTTACTTAATCCGTTTGAATTTTAAAATATTGCTATTAGTTGTTTAGGAATTTCCTCTAGGAATATATTAATCTTTAGAAATTATAGGAACGAAAGAATTTAATGTTGAATATTCGAAAATATTTTAAAATATATGAAGAAAACGTGTTTGAAAAATTTATTGCAGTTAAATGTGATTTAAGAAATAACGGTCTGTTTGGCTATAGAGATAGTAGAAGAATTAAAATTAAACGAATTAATAATGTAGTTAAATACCAACTTTAATCCTAGAGCTGCCAAATATCCAATAGTGCTTCCACTTTAATATATTGGAGATTGACCAATTCAACATTTGACTAACCTTTGCTCGTTGAATAAAAGAAAACAAAAGCATCTGTACTACTAAAATATTATCTAGTTTTCCATTAAAAAAATTATCTAGTTACTTTACTAATATTGTTGTTAAATTAAAAATTGTCAAAATAATTATAGTTTATAATATGATAACAGGATTTGACTTGTTCTACTAAAAGGTAAAAAGTAGGAACACAGACTAATACTAGACACGATCCAATCAGACATAAACAAGCAAGATTTGATAGAGGGGCGTAAATATAAAAGGTAAAAACATTTACGAACCAAAACAAGTTTGTACTAACTCCAGAGGTAGGAATATAAATAACCAAAAAAACGCCCATTAAACAGAGAATCTTCAAAAGCCTCTCTCACAGTTTTTCTCTTCTGCTCTGTAGTAACCTTTTTCTCTAAAAGAAAAAAAAAACCGAAAAAAGAACTCCCTAAGAGATTTACCCAAAAGATTCCAAAAGCAAAAGGCAACAGAAGCTTCATCAAGCCTCCAAGCATTACATACGAGGAAACAAAAGACCAAGAGTTTTCAGACAAACATCTTTACATGTCTGTGAAGAGCAGAGATTTATATATATATAAACTTGTAGCAACTCTACTGTCAATGCATTTGTCGCGGGAGAGCACGGGAACGAACAGGTGTCTTTGAGGGACTCACCCTGCAAATCCAAACCCATCAAAAATACAATAATGTTAAGATTGAATAACAAGAGTTAGAAAGAGTGTGTTAAGAGTTGGTTTGTTCTTGGACCTTATCGGTAAAGAACCAAGAAGAACGCCACTGCAGTTGAGAGCAGCTATTGCGCTTTCAGCCTGCGGAAGAGTAAAGATCAATACTTTGAATCTCAATTCTTTAATACAACCGTTAAATAGATGTGCTTTTTTAACAAGTTTTAATAAAGATCAGGTCCAAAATACAGTCTCAGCAAGATATTCTTGAATTGTATCAAGTAGACTCATCAATGAAATCAATACTTACCATGACAAACTCAACGAAACCGATTCTAGTTGGATGATGATAATCTCCGAGCAGCCTGAGACGGTACACTTCTCCACACACAGCCTCGAAAAAGAGCTTTATCTCTGATTGAGTGACCTGTTGAATGGTGAAAACTAATCAAAGTTAGTTTACTTTTTGAGTTTCAGAATAGCTTGAGCAAAGGAAACCTCACCTTCTTGTCGATATTAGTGCAGTAGATAGTTCTCGCACACATCTCACGCTCATCTTCAGTCTAGCAAACCAACAAAAAAGGACAAGAAGTCAACGTCTTGACTCTTGAAGTCTAGAGAGTCATAACTTTACTTTCACAAAATGTGATGAAAATCCAAGAAAAATTCTCACCCTTGGCAAAAATGTCGGGTTAACCGGCGCAATAGCTGTTTTAGACGGCATAACTTTCACAGGATAAAATCCCAGCATCGTCCCGGACAAATTCAACGCAGCTTTTGCACCCACTACAAGTTCCCAAATTGTCCAAAAACCATTTAATCAACCATTTACAGGCATTTTCCAAACACAGACTACATAATGAAACTAATGATAATACCTTCATCGGTGAACTCGATGAAAGCAAACCGAAGTACTGAGTTGGGGTCACCGCAGATGCGACAGTCAACAACCTAAATAACAAAACAGTCAACACACAGAAAAAAAACACCACCGAACAAAGATGAACCTTGAAGAAGTTACTTATATAAACCTGTCCAAAGCCGATAAACAAACCAGCAAGCTGCTCCTCAGTGACCTGACCCAAAAAATATGATAGTGTATAGGTAAGAATATAGTAAAACCGAGAAGAACCATTGAAGAAAAAAAAGGTGGAAGCTTTTTGAAACCTGTTGGTCAATATCAGACACATAGACAGTTCTTCGAATGATCTCTTCACGCTGAGCCATACTTGTCCGCGGATTCATCTTCCTTTTCCCTTGTGGTCCGAACGACTTCTTCTGTTTCAAATAACAGAAAACAAAAAAAAAACTCAAATCAAATCATTTTGCAGAAGATTTTCATGAAGCAGAGCAGCCAAAACAAGAACATACTAAGATTTAATCGCAAGAGACAAAAGGTGAGAAATTTAAACTTAGAAAAGAACAAAGAAGACACAAGAAAAGAAGACACAATGGACCAAGTTTAAACAAACAACCTACGAACAATCACAAGAGACAAGAGACGTGTCTTACCCGTCGAAAACCGCCGTCCTCGTTGCCGGGGAAATATCCAGCAGCACCAAAGCCATTTTCACGAAATAAAGAGAAACCGACGGGGAAGAAACCACCGTTAACGCCGTTAAAACCGTTAGCCGCTTGCTTATTCAGTGAAGGAGGAACAAACTCTTCAGCCATGGGATTAAGCTTTGACAAAAGCTCGTGGAGCTCTCTCATCTCACGCTTGAAGCTCTCTCCATCGTCGGATCTCGCCAGGTGTGATCCGATCTCACCGTGAGTTCCATTTTCACCGTGATCGTTGTTAGAAGAGCCTCCTGATTCTTGACTGGTGACGGAAGACGGCGGCGACGGCGAGATCATACTAGCTTCCGTATCAGCTCCAACGCTCTCAACGACCGCCATGATCAAAGATTCGGTAAATCGCAAAATACCCAGAAACAAAAATCGGATTTTTCGGGGAACTCACGATCAAGTAACACGAATTGAAGGAACAAAACGAAAAGGGAACAGTAGCATAAAGGGTTCTATAAGAAGGAGCCACCAAGAGAGAGAAGAAGGAAGAGGACAAAAGAGTAATAAACCAGAGGATTAGTGGTAATTAATTTTGTTTCTATGAGAAAGATTAGCGAGGTTCGTTGGGAAAATGAACAGGATTAAGCAGAAGATTAAATCCCAAATTTGATTTTTGTTTTTACCGTGGTGAAAAAGGTAAAGCGATCGAAAAAAGATCACGCTTTTAGTGTCCCTCTCTCTCTTTTTCTGCTATTTTCAGACAAAATCGTAGAATCTACAACTCTATATTATAGGAAAAATAATTAAAATATGTACTAATTTATTTGTCATCATTATATTTACGTCACTAAAACCAAATACAGAGTATAATAAATTTATGACATAAAAAGAACCAGACTTTAGTTGCATTTGAAGATGATATGATATATAAGTAATCTATAAGGTTGCACTCATGTAAACAAATCAAATCAATAGTTGGAGGTTGGGATTAACGTAATGATATAGCAGATCAAAGAGTAAAATAACACATGGCACAAAAATGAATGCACATACAGTTTTTCGTGTATAAAATATTTTCGTATTCAATAGTCAATAGGCTTTAACAATTAGTCACATTACTATAGATGAGAATATAAACTGTTTTCAATAGTGTATCTGTTTTCCTTAAAAGGTATAAATTTAAATATTATTTAAGGTCTAGTTTTTAAATTAATTCATTTTCATTGTTTTGTTATAAATTAAAAATTTAATAAACTTTTCTAATTAACGTTTACATATGCGTGACATAGCTTTTTGATATATTTTCAAAGTATTTTGTACGTAGTTTTATTCCCTCAACCAGTAGTTCTACGGTTTTATGATTGAATGATTTTTTTTCCTTTTGTTTTTTAGTTACAATTTTATATACTTTTAATCAACCTAATTGATAACTTTTAACCGCACATTTATGCTTAACCGATTGTATAATTGTTCTTTTTCAATATTAGTAAAGACTTTCTTTTCTTTTATTTTTTGCATTTTCGTTGACTACGTACATCTATTCCCCGAAATTGGTTTCTATATATATTATCTTCAGATATTTGGAAATTACTATTCCACAATCGCACAACGTTAACTATCTGTATTATTATCAATATATTTTTTTTCAAACCCTTTGTGTACTTTTCTGAAATCCAAGGAGCAAGAAAGTGTAATTTTTTTAAAAAAAGAAACAAAGCGTAAAAAGTAGAATTGTCTAAACGGATAAACATGGGTTAAACCACAACATTACTTGCCGACAAAAAAGAAGCCATTGACAATGACACTACATGTTTCGGAATTATCCAACTTCTGATAAACCCATGACTCTTTGATTATTCACCTTTCTAACAGCAAGTAAATAATATAAATTTACTCTGTAGCTTAACCAAAATAACCAACGCATCTGTACGGTGGTGGAAGGCAGAGTTACCAGCTTCACCACCTACTTTAGTGATTCGTTACAGCTATAAAGATACGCCAAAGCTCACTTTAATCTTTTCTCGGAACTATAAGAATAAAAGAGAGATTCTATATAGCATCGCCGATCAATTGGCTATTTCATATGTCATCCTACTTAATTTGAAGTTTAGTTTTCCCAAAATTATGGTTTAATTTCGTACAAAAAGGTGTATAGTTTGGTGTGAATGATAGAGAGGTACCCTAAAATACACCATGAAACAAGTTTTACTTCCAAAAGTACAAAAATATTAGATAAAGGAAATGTCTTAATTGTTTAGTAAGGGTTAAATCATTTAGGAACACTTCATAAACCTATGATTTATGAATCTTCAAAGTTGTTTTATTAATGCTGAGTTAAATTCACCTGGCATGCGGAGATCAAAACCATCCATTGTTTTGTGTTTGTACACATGTTTCATGCATGCAAATGTAGACCATGTAATAGAATATCAAACTATACTAAATTATCTTAGCTATATATATATGTGAGTTGATGATATAGTTAATTAATTTATGATTTAATGAGATCATACATTTACATAATGATCTTTTAAAACAGTAGATTATTATTTTATCAAAACTCGTTAGTTTCTTATACTAATCAAAATTTATATACCAAAATGCTGAAAACCCGTGAACTTGTGTGTTGTGTCTGACTGTCTGTGCTCTGTTTTTAGAATATTCCTTTACCATGGTACATTTTAAAATTGTGCTGCCTAATTATATTATTCTATCCACCCAATAGCTACCAAACTCTTGTCTTGTAGTATTATTTTTCGGAAATCGAATCGTAGTTTACATTTTTGTTTCCCTAGCAACCACCGAAATACCAAATCTCTCTCTTTTTTTTTTTTTGCTTCACCAAATCTCATTTAATGGTGGTACTTTTCTCCTTCGAAAGTTCCGAAATATTTTCTTTCTTAATATACTCAGTCTATTAAGAAAAAAAGAGAGTGGCGAATTTTAAATTGCAAATTACTTAATTTTTTTTTGTTTTGTTTTAAGTATCAGATTTTATAATTCTAGGTAAACGTTACATAATAAGATGATTGATTTCCTTAATCTTTACACTCTTTACATTTTTCCCCCAAGATCTCCTTACACTTAATTTAAGATAGAAAACAAATTTCGTAGAAAAAGAGCAAGAAAGCAGAAAAAGAACAGAAGAAAGCAAAATCCATCTTGTAAGCCCGGCCCATAATTTCACTAAGCCCATAAAGTATCGATGAACGTAATTAGTGGAAATCTATCATCTTCGTTTGAAGAATCCTCCTCCTTTCTCATCTTCAAGAAGCTCCATTCAAAAAATCGGAGTCGAGATTCATCGATACATGTCGAGATTGATTCTCCATTTGCAATCTCGAGTACTGCTATCTTCATTGTTGAGCCCTTAAGCTTTGAGTCATGAATACAGAATGCGATTTCAGTTATCCCTAGTGGTTTTCGTTTCTCCACGTTTAGAAGATACGAATTTGGGTTTGTAAAGCTTCGAACTTTAGAGCGATTCTGGGTAAATTGGTGAACTGATCGGAAAATTGTGCATTTGGGTTTCCTCTATTTTTCTTGTAACCGATTTTGTGATTTGCGATTATGAAACCGCTCGAGGATTGGGTCGATGGATCTTGGACCGTGGATTGTGTCTGTGGTGTGAATTTCGACGATGGTAAAGAGATGGTGAATTGTGATGAATGTGGTGTTTGGGTACACACAAGGTGCTCTCGTTACGTTAAAGGAAATGATCTATTCGCTTGTCACAAGTGCAAGATCAAACACAGTGATTCTGCTGCTATGTTATTAAAAATGGAGAATCTCTCTGCTCGAAATCAGACTGTTCACATGAACCGAGGTTTCAGGGCATGTACAGAGATTCCCATTGAAGAAAGGGTTCATGTACAAGGAGTTCCAGGTGGAGATTTGGCTGTGTTTGAACGGTTTTCGTCGGTTTTCTCTCGTCAGCTTTGGAAGTCTAGTGGTTATGTGCCTAAGAAGTTTAGGTTTCAGTATAGCGAGTTTCCGTGTTGGGATGATCAGAAGGAGAATGCAAGTGAGATTGACGTTCAAGAAGATGCTTGTGCTGAAGTTTTGTTATCTATGTCGAAAGAAAACGATGTAGCCGATGTTGTGGTTGAGAAGCTTGGTGCTAAAGACAGTAGAAGAAGTTTGGTTTCTAGAGGAATTGAGATTAACAGAGAGAAGAGATTGCTCTGTTCTTTGAGTGCACATAAGGGTAGAAAAGATGATTCTGAAGATCGTTTAAAGAAGAAGGTTAAAGTTGGAGACAAAGAGAAAGGAGATGATAAGAATGGCCACACAGTTTTTGGCCCTTACAATGCTATTAAAAGGCTTTGATTTGGAATGGGTCAAGTTTTTCTTTTGTTCTCAATTTTCTTCCAAATCATTAGCATTTCGATTTAAAACTAGCAATCAAGAACCTCATGAGGGTAAAGATCCACAAGGGCTATTTAAAGACGTTGGGAGGGTAAAGCGTGAGAAGGTCCAAGGAAACTAAATTCGAAGAATCCATTGATAGATAATATTTCAGTTGATTGCTCCAAGGAACAGCAATTTCCTCAGGAGCATGAAAGAAGAAGTCGTCTATAGTTTCCAATGGTGCTTAAGAGCTCTGCTTGTGTCCTCAAGGCTCAAAGATAAACACAATGAGGGTACCTTTCAATGCTTAGGCTTCTAACTTTTCTCTAGTTTAGAATCTTACGCATATATTCAATTCTAACCACAAGGGTACATGATAACATTTGTCTTTGCAGTCAAGCTGAGAATGTTTTTTGACTTGAGCTACTACTCGAACCTTGAACAATTTGATGTGTAATCAAAAGATCCAAAAGGTCTCTGTTTTGTTGTATAATCACAGTTTAAACGGATCGACCAAATCCTTGATTTTTTTTAAAGACTCCTTTAACGTTCTTTTTCGAAGAAAATAATCTTCTTTTTATTTGCGTTAAAGAAACTAGATGGTCTCTTTGAGAATATATTGATATTGTTTTCTTCTAGTCTAACTCTAGACTTATACAATGTTCTAACACACAATTCCTTGCGAATGATCCTGTAAAAATGGTGTTGTGTTGAAGTTGAAATCCTTGATTGAATAGAAGAGAAAGCAGATATCGGTGAAAAAGAAAAGAAAGAAGAAGCACAGATTGTCGTAGAAAGAAGATTGGGCCTTACATCTCACTAGGCCACAAGTGCAAGTGGGCCTACGCTTATCTGTATCAGCCCAAGAGAATAAACCAAGTCAGTTAAGGAATAACTAAGTCTAGTTAAATAAATTAGTAGTTAAGAGCAGGTAGAATGGTTGATGTTTAAAGAAGAGTTTGCTTGTTAAATCAGTCTAGAAAACTAGGAGTATGGTGTAGTAGAAGTTGTTATGTCTAGAGATCATTAGACCAAGATTATTGCAGTCCCTTACATGGGTCTCTTAGGCATTTTGACAATTAAAAGAAATAGAAAAAGCCCATAAAATACAAGGAACATCTCTTATTCTGCGACTTAAAGGACGTCTCTTGTGAGACAGGTGTCAAAACACGAGTGGAAAAGAAAATGTGAGAGAAAAAATTATTGGGGCCAAAGTTGAGTCGAGCAAAATTTGGTTTTTAGGTCGGCTAAACATTTTCTTCTCCTTGACCATATCGCCGAAGCGATTTTTCTTTTCTCATCTCCGTCGCCTTCTCCGGCGACGAGCAATCAGCTTCGCCGTCGCCTTCTCCGCCGTTTTCAAAGTCTATAATCAAATGTAAGTTTGTGTTGTTCGTGTTGTTTTTGTGTAAAAATGTATAATTAAATAATTATCTTTATTTTAATTAATATTTTTTTTTTAAGAAACCCAAAAGGGTAGTTAGCAATGGACCTTCAAAAATAATGGGTTTCTTACAAATATTTCTTAGCCCAAAACAATTCTTAAATAATGCTAAAAAATACATAAGAGTATTTAGCAATAATCATGCTTTTAGAGCAGCTCCAACCCTGAGACCTTCTTTGGGTATCTTCGAATTTTTTTTTGTAATTTTTTTTTCAATTCTGAAGGACTCCACCATCTAAACCCCTCCAACCCTGATACCCGTTTTAAGGTATCATATGAATAAAATAATAATAATATTATTATTTTTTTTGAAATTTTGAAAATTTCAAAAATAATATTTGTTAAACTATATTACATAAAACATAAGTAATATGGAAAGACATGATTTATTGAAGTACATATTTTATAAATTTTAATAAAACATACAAATTTTATTCTAAAGTGGTGTTCCCCAAATTTATGCCAAATATGTTCCACTAAATCATCCTTCAATTGTTGGTGAATTTCGCTATCTCGAACTTCATTTCGAATGCCGATCATATTGCCCATATTTGATGCCATATGTGTTGAATAACCCATATCTACTTGTGAAGTTCTGTTTCCTTCACCTTGTTCGAATTCAGATAGATTGTATTGAGTGTTGGTAGCTTGTTCGTCTTCTACTATCATATTGTGTAATATGATACATGCTCTCATAACTTTTCATATCTTTTCTTTATCCCACATAAGTGCTGGATTTTTGACAATAGCAAATTGGGCTTGCAAGACTCTGAAAGCTCTTTCGACATCTTTTCGTACAGATTCTTGGCATTTAGCAAATAAAGAATCTTTATCACCTTGGGGAAGAGGAATAGATTTGAAAAATGTTACCCATTTTGGATATATACCGTTTGTGACGTAATATGCTAGACGATAGTTGTGTCCGTTGACAGAGAACCTGATTTTTGGAGCTTTACCTTGTAATATGTTATCAAAAACAGGTGAGCGATCAAGGACATTGATATCATTTAAAGTACCTGGAGGTCCAAAAAAGGCATGCCAAAACCAAAGATTGTATGATGCTACGACCTCTAAGATAATTGTCGGTTTTCCTGAACCCCGCGTATATTGCCCTTTCCAAGCAGTGGGGCAATTTTTCCACTTCCAATACATACAATTGATGCTGCCAATCATCCCGGGAAATCCGCGTATCTCTCCAACATGAAGTAGCCGTTGAAGATTTTCTTGTGTGGGTCTTCTTAGGTATTCATCCCCGAACACATATATTATTCCTTGGGTGAAATTTTCCAAGCATGAGATTGCTGTACTTTCACCGAGCCGGAGGTATTCGTCAACTGCATCATCGGGACTACCGTATGCCATCATACAGATTGCGGCTGTACATTTTTGTAGTCCAGATAGACTAAGCCTTCCGACAGCATCTCTCCTTTGTTGAAAAAAGGAACTTCTTCTGAGAGTCAATCAACAATACACATGAACAATGTCTTGTTCATTTTAAAACGGCGGCGAAACAAATGATGAGGGTAAGTAGCATATTCGCTGAAGTAGTCGTTCCATAGACGGATATGGTTTTGTTCGCGTTGTCTTTCAATATATGCTCTTTTCTTCTTCTTTGGTTTGGGTGCTGATTGATGCTCAAGGAAAGTGTTCAAAGCATTGTCAAAATGATGATCAAATATTTCATCAAAAGTTTCATCAAAAGTGTCATCAAGAAAAGCAGTGGAAAAATTGTTAGAAGAAGATGCCATGTGTGGCTAGAAATAAAGAGAAAGGAGATGGAGAATTTGAGTTTGGTTTTGTAAATACAAAGATAGTTTATGTAGATTTTTTATTTTTGATAAGGAAATAACAAAATGGATATGAATAACTCGTGAGAGAAAGGAGAGTGATTTTGATGCAAATAACAAAATGGATATGAAACAAAGAGAAAGGAGAGTGATTTTGAAACGATAGAAGAGTGCAAAGATAAGTGAGCAACGATATAACATTATATAGAAAGATGCAAATCAAGTCATGTGGTTTACAAAGACAGAGAAATATGTGGTTACAAACACGAAATAAAGCTTATGGTTTACAATCAATATCTGCATACATGTAAGAGAACATGTGGCGTACAACACAAAGTTACAAAACAAAGAGGACCCCATCCTAACTTGCAAACAAATCACGGGCTAGATAAGCACATGGAGCCTTGATTCCTTATCCGCCTAGTCTTCAAGTTTGTTTAGGAACTGCAAAACAAGGAATAGACAATGTTATCCAAATAATACAAATAAAATGCAATGTTATCCAACGAATACAAATGAAAGGCAATGCAAGTACACGAACCTTTAATACACTAAACGAACTTCATTTAATTAACGTTCAACAAACAAACATCAACAAAACAAAGTTCAGGGTTAGCAATGACTTAAAACTCACGTTATTCCAAAATGGCAGCAATGAGTTTGTCCTTCAACTCAAGTTCAGTAGCAGAAAGTGGCTCCGATTTGATAAGGAGTTTCTCAAGCAAGTTTTGCTTTGAGATCTTATCTTTCCTTTCCAAGTCCACTTTCTTAATCTCCCACATACCCTGTAAGTCCGACAAGGCCTTTCATTATCTATAGCAGCCGCTCAAGTTGGACTGTTCTTTTGCTCTTAGCTGCAGCTTTTGCAGCTTTCACACCAGGCGGTCGTTGAGTTTTCTCTCCACCTCCTGATGTTTCCTCTCCACAGCTTTCCGGCGTTGAGTTTGGTGTCTGAGCAGCACCTTCTTCGCACTTTCTATGCTTAACCCTTTCAGCATCTCTTACAGTGGTGGCTGAAGTCCACTTTTGATCATACCGAAGTTCCCTCCAAGCATGCTCAAGACCAAACTTAAAGCCGTGATCGTTGAGGAAGATCTGGTGTGCAGCTTTCATTAAGTCATTGTCGTTTTGGCTGGATCTTTTCTCTTTAACGGCAGCCTCGTAGCAGCCAACGAACTTGCACACTTGGTCGTTGAGTCTACTCCACCTTTGCTTGCAGTGATTGGAATCTCTATCTGGATAGTCAGCCAACTTCCGACTAGAGTTGAAATAAGACGTGATGCGCGACCAGAATGCACCAGCTCTTTGCTCATTAGCCACCACTGGATCTTTGCTGGTGTTCAACCAAGAAGAGATGAGCACGAGGTCTTCTACTGGGGTCCACTGCCTCTGCACTTTGCAATCTTCAACTGCAACCGGTGGGTCATCCGAGTACTGAGTACTAAACATAGGGAGTTGGGATGATCCTATCTCTATGTTCGGGGAAAAAGGAAAAATATATTCTTCTTGGCTTGTTAAGAGGTTTACAAACCCCTGAGGATTACCAAATGGGTTCTGAGAGGCCATATGGATTCGGAGAATGTTTAGAGTTTGCTGATTCTGGAGAAGAGTATTAAGAATTTTTATTGTTTAAAGAATTGGTGCTACGGTTTTATAATACGAGGTTAATTGTAAAAGCTTTTTTAGCATTAAATGTTCAACCAAACTGAAATGATCGTTGAAAAGAAAGGCTTTAACTATTTCTCTAGCCACTCAGTAAACCTAACGTTAACTACCATTACTCTTTACCTAACAAACCATAATGCAATAAACAAAATCCACTTTTCACTTACCTTGCCAGCGATGATGTGTAAAACAGTCCATCTCCGCCTTCAAGTATCACCTATGGATAGCCGGTTTATTGGTAACCTCAGAAAAATATGACATAAATGTTAGCAAACAATGACATTCAATGCAAAAATAATAAATATTGAACTACTTAACAATGAATAGAAAGCATCATTACCTTGCTTCCTGATTCTCCGCACGCAGCATCTCACCTGATATCACCATAACCAAACAAGGGAATAACCATACCAAGCAATAACTGAACAATTGCAAATAGCTATACGCAATCACTAACCAAATGCCATAACCGAAACAACAACCAAACTAATACCAAGTTAATGTTCTAGCATAACACAAAGATAACACAAAGGT